CCGTCTGGGCAGTGGATGGAATGAGATTCACTGCCCCCCTGCGTGAACAATGGAAATTGTAAGGTGGAACCCTTGGAAACAGGGGTTGACACACACACACGACCATCATCTTCACCACCTTCACCACCACCATCACCACGATCCACCATCACCGCCACCCTCACCACCCCCATCACCGCCATCACCGTCACCGTCACCACCACCATCATCCAACATCATCATCACCACCAACGCCAACACCACCATCATCACCACCATCACCTGTCTCTTCAGCCCAGTGCGTCTAGATCTCTATATTTTCTGTTTTTACCCTGTAGACCTTAGACCTCTAGACACACTGTTTGGGGTCTCTTGCCGGGATATTTTTTTGGGTGGCCTCTCCGAAACACAGATTTGCCCTTTTACAGGGAGATACATGTTTTGGGCTCGGTGTTGGTGAGGCCTGGTTTCTGAGTCTGCGTTTTCGGTTCCTGGAAAGTCTGTTCGGCTTGAACCATGTGCGGTTCCGGTTTGTTGGGGGCCCCGTTCGGTTTGGTGTTTGGCGGTTCCAGTTCGCCACGGTTCGGTTCGCAGTTCCAGGATTTATTTTGCTGAGGGGGGCAGTGGAAATCAATTCAATAAGTCTCAATATACTGTTTGCCCAATCCATTTTTGTCAGTTCTTTCAGTGCCCCTAGTCTGGGTGCGGTGGGGTGTAGTGTCGGTGTAGGTTTTGAAAATCAAATCATAGTTTTGATGGCATTGATCATTTGTTGCTGAATTTGCATGTGAACACGTGTATATATATAATCTTCCATGATGCATGCAGGACAATGCCAACTTGTTGAGACCGCTGTTGCTGCGTTTGGTTGATTCATTGCTCAGGCAAAGGGCATTGCAGCTCTTGCACCAGATGTTGCAGCTTTCCTACAGACCATGTGTGATTTCATATAGTTCAGCTATCAGTTCCTGCACTGACAGTGTCCAGTGGAGTCAAGCCCTTCACTTGCTTCAACAAGCAGCAAGCAGCAGTCTGCGTTTGGATGTATTTACTTACAATGCGACGATAACTGCCTGTGAAAAGGCATCTCTGTGGAGCCAAGCTCTCCTTTTGTTGACCGAGATCGAAGTGACTCGTTTGGAAGCCGACAGCATTTCCTTTACAGCAGCTTGATAGCAAGCTCCTATCCATGACAAACCAAGTTGGACCAACGTGTTGTTCAATCTTCATGTTGCGTGAGGGATTGAGCTAGTAGAAAGAGAAATTTGTTGCTGCCAGGGTTCGTGCCGCCTGCGAAACCCTGAGTTTGGTCATCCCCAATCATTAGTCAGATTCTCTTTGCAGTTAGAACTTGTCACGTCCAGGCGGCAATGGCTTCTTGCAAGGCCGCTGGTCGCTGGCAGCCCACATTGCTGCTCCTAGCAGAAGTGAGGAAGCGTGGTCTCAAGGTAGATGTGTCTTGTCCAATCCAATGAGGCTTATTTTCCCAGAAGCTTGCAGAAGCTGGCTGGCGTAGCTCTTGTTTAACAAGACTAGGACCGAGAGCTAGGTTGACGCCAAATATATTCTCCCTTCACAGGTTCAACACCTCTTGGATCCTCTTGGGTATAATAATATGGTTGCTTAAATGTGTGTATGTTACCTGACGGTTCAGGCCAACACACTGCTTGTATATAGTCATTGCGTTTGAATTTAACAGATTATCTCCCTTTGCTTATGTGTCCCTCTTGTACTTTCATTGATCATGATTTGATCTTGTCTCATTTTGATCATGATTTGATCTTGTCTCATTCTGTGTGGCATTACCTCACTACCGAAGCGAAGCCTATCTAATGTTATGCCGGTCTAGCTTTCAACCTCAGCTTTCACCCGCCCGGCCTCAAATCGGCCTAAAATGTATTGAAGGAGCTGTTGGGTTTTGTCTGTGTGTGACAACATGATCTACACCAATGCTTGTCCACCCGCACAGACAGCAAGGTTGGATCACAGATGGAGCCCGTGACACGCATGAACGGTGAACCTTTGTAAGTGTGTATAAAAGAAGTAACTGTTGTGTTCATCAGGGTACGAAACGTGTTTGCCAGGTTACTATGCAGGGGCTTGTCCTCTCTGCCTGTGAGAAAGTACACAAGCACCTGCTAGCAAGGCAAGTTTTGGCCCTCGTGGAGAACACAATGCTACGGTCGCTCAAACGCCATGGACGTAGTTGACCTACTCGTGAGCTTTCTATTCATGAGCAAAAGAGCGATGAATACAACATGAGAATGGCGAGACCGTTCAACAAAAGGAAGTGTTTTATGCCAAAAAAGGCTGAGCCGGGACCGGCCCAGCCACAGTTTGAGAATCTGAAAGGAGTCCGTTTTGTACAAGGAGTTTTCAATTCACGGTTAACCCTTTCCTCCGGTCTCACATATCCTTTCTTGGATTCCAGGCGAAAGATGGTGAAAGCAATTTTGCCTGTTTGAAGAAGCATGTTGCTTCTTTTTTCCAGCCCCACGTGTGGGGCAGGTGTCTCTTGTTGTTCAAGGCCTTTTCGTCATCCAAAGGATGACGAGAAGAAGAGTTGAGCAACTGAGGTGGAGCTATCACCTTTTTATATACGTCGCGCTCAGCTCTTGTAAATCTGTTGAAGCTTTAGTGCGGAAAATGAGATGAACATATACGTTGTACAACGCGGCAGGGTCAGGGCACCTACTTCCCACTCACAGGTAGCTAGAGCGGGCCGAGCGACGATGGAAATTAATTTGAAGGCATATAATTATACCCGAAGGCCCTAGAGCTGTCCTTTTATTTCTCTAGTTTGGAATCATTTCTCACACCTTTCTGAGTTCCCTGACAAGACCTGTAAAAACCATTGATGTGTTGGATCCCAAATGGTCCAAATATGTTTGCCTCAGCTCATCGGCTTTGAACTTTGAGTTTTGTCATGTCCATGTCAGGCTGGTGGGCTCATCGGAGAGGCGGTCTTGCTGGGCCAGGCCAGTCTCTTGGCGAACATACATCATATATCAAAATATCGTCAAGTTTCCTTCAAAATCTGGGAACCAAATCATTAGTGCGAGCGCTTCTTCAAGGAAGCGTGAGCTATCCTGCGTCCTAGCTAGGAGCTTCCTATTGCTATATAGTAACTATATTCTATGTAGTAGCTTGCCTCCCTTACTTAATAAAGTGGGCGCCTACTTAATCAAGTAAGGGCGGGTTAAAGAACAATAAAACTTCTGAGAAAGCTGACAACGTTCACAACGTGGCTTTTTGCACGTGTTCCAGTAGCTCACAACATCAACGTCCGACTACCAGTTTTGCTCAAGGATGAGAACTTGTTTAGACAACTACAGTGCCACAGCTATGATTTGTGTGTTCCTTCCGAGTTTTTAGTGTGGATGGTGCACCATTCCCAATTTGGATTATAGCAAGGAAGTGGCCTTGGCTTCCTGCTTTCATCATCTCTTGTATATATATATATATATAGTCATGTATAGGTCTTTACGTATAGTCACTTCTATCTTCGAGCATTTGGAAGTGGAATTGGGCACCTCCTTGCCAAGAGGTTCTAGGTATGGTTTCCACCCATCCCACCACAGCCTTACAGGTAAAAGGAGACGATCAATAAAAGCTTAGTAATGGTCAGGCCTTTGACGATCCGAATGTCCTTTTGACCGGGGTTTGGGAGTCAACAGAACTCAGGCCCTGGCAGGTAACTTGTTCAATCCTTCGGCCAGGCAAGCAAGCGCACTGCGACAGTCCGCGCTGTCGGACAGGTGAAGCAGAGTCGATCCGTGCGGCTATGTACAAAGATGTACAAAGTCAGTGTCCTTTGCATATGAATATGTTGACATATGGATGAGCTGATCAAGTACAGGTCTGAGGTGTTGACCATAGAGAGACCTTTCAGGTGGTGGGTTTTGCCATCGACCAGCAGAAGAGCCCAGCTGTTCAAGCCTGACATGTATTGAGGCAGCTCAGTAGGCCCGCGTAGCTGGAGTGCACCTTTGAGAATGCGTTGACCCTCCGATTCCCCCAAGTGAGTGTGAGGTGTTTTAGAAAAGGTCACGTTGAGAAAATGTAGATCATGTACAGTAGCTGAGTTTGAAGTAGCATTGCCGTACAGCAGTGCTGGTAGTCAGTAGTTCAATGAAATCCATCTAGGGCCTTGCGGGAGCACTTAGGCAAGAGATCGGTCAGATCTTCATGGACTTTCCCGAGGCTGGGCCTTTCAGCAAAGCCGACTCCTCGAAGCCTGGAGTGTTGTTTATTGCCTAGGAACAAGGGCATCGCTACTAGTAGCAAGGACGCCACTAGTAGCTAGGGCATTACTACTAGTAGCAAGAAGCTACTAGTAGCTATTTGCCACTAGTAACTTTAGTAGTAATGCACTTGTTACTAGTAGCGATTCACCTGTTACTAATGTTGCCTGTCCGAAGGCTAGGGAGGGCCGCATTTTTGTCGTGTGGTGTTGCCCTTACTTTAGAGAGTTGTCACTGAATTGCCTTTCGTTGGGGTCAGTATGTGTTCTTTAAAATATGGTGTCTTCTGTCAGCTTTGAATGGCTTCTCGCAGCTTTTGGTGGCTCCTAAAAGCATGTTCTTGGGTGCGGCGAGACGCTGCACCCTCCCCCCCCCGACTGCTTCAGCGGCATGAAATCTGCAATACAACAACATCCTCGATTTTCTGGATGCCACGAGACCTGACTTTGAAGCGTGACACCCCTGCCCTGCACCAGTTCTCCCTTTCGTTCCTTTCCTTTTTTGTCTCTCTTTTTTTTGAACCCTTATCCTTCCCTGAAAAACACTCCGTCCATAGCCAACCAAAATATAGACAGCAAGGACACCCCTCGAGACCGTGTTCTTAGTCTATTGTGGAGTGCCCAGTGGCAGAAAGTCTGACAAGCAAATTTGGAAGACACATATACTAGATGACTAGATACTGTAAACACGGGATAATCATGGACTTTGTTATGACTTATTGAACACTTGAACATTCAGTGATCAGGAGAAGCAACGAATGTTGCAGCTTGCCACCTTGCGAACTCAGACAAACAAGGCCCTCGGACTTGGACAGAATATCAGCTGACACAGCTTCTTTGTCAGTTTGGTGTTTGCCAGGTTTCTGCATTTTGTTGCTTTGTAACATTGAGCATGAACCGTTCTTGACAGAAATCTAGCACAGGTCCTTGTCGGCAAAGACAGCAAAGAAGACAAGGCTACCAGGCGCAGATGTTTGATTTTTTGGTTGCTACAGTAGCCTCGTTTTTTGCAGCGTGACCTATTGAAATTGTATGAAATTGTATGTAGTGGTTTATTGTTCTCACAATGGAATCCATGTTTGCCAAAGGGAGGACACGAATTGCCTTGGCCGAATACGTTTCAATGTAAATGCTGTCATGTAAATTAAACACTGTCTTCAAAAGAAACAAGGATCATGGGTGAAGGGCCTTGGCCATGCTACTCCAAAATGTCAGTTCATGAATAAGTTTGCACTGAATATTGTTGTCCATTCGCACACCTGCAATGCTACAATGTACCTTCAATGTGCAAATGAGCTTGCCTTGGCTTCACATTCTGCATGGGAGCTAGGTCATCGACGGCAGACAGGGTGTCGAAGGCTGTTTGCCGGATGCTTGACGAACTACTGAAGAGCATGTTTAAAGATGGGCATGTTTAAAGATTGCTAGCCGCACCATGCAGAGAAAGAAAAGACGAGCAAGACCGTTGCCTGTAGTTGGTCTGTAGTTTGTCGACCGGCTTGGCAAGTGAAGTGAACAACAGACATACAGTGCTAAAGTGTGGAATTCTGTGACCCATGTTGAGCCACTTGCCAAAAAGAAGAATACATAAGGGATGTAGAATAAGAAGGTATGGCATGCTATGGCCACGTTGAGACCTTGGATCATGTTTATCCGTGGCCGCCAGTTTGCAGGCGTCCAAAGATACTGCGAGAAGTTCTGACAGGGACTTCGGCGAAGGGAAGTGTTATATGTGCAGTGACTAAGTGAATGGCTTCCAGGAACTAGCCATCTACAATCGCAAGCCTTCGGAGCCAAATCAGTTTTAGTTGTCGCAGCGAAGATGCTGATGTTTCAACTCTTCGTTGCTGGGCAAAGAGAAGCCAACAAAAGCACTTGTGCAGAGATGTATTTGTGTAAGTTTTCTGTAATTTTCACCTTGGACCCAGACACTTGTTACCAAAATCTCAATTTGCTTTTACCAGATCGTGGCAGAACATGTGCATTAGGACATGTGCATTCTGCATCAACAAGAAAGCATTTTTTTCAAAACTAAAAGAACCGCCAACTAGTTGCATCCTTCTCAACAGACTGAGCCGACAGCAGTGACACCACAAACTATTTTGTTGTAGGCTGCTTTGACTAAATCCTTCTTTGGGCACATGTTCACTAAAGGCTTACACTAAGACCTGAGCCAGTCTTAAAACGGTGCCTTGTAGATCATATTTGCAAAGACCGTCAAAGTCCTACCAATGAAGCCAGCCCAGGAGCACATCTCACCACGGCGCTTGGGCTCCTTCCTGAAGGGTGACTTTCCTTCAAGGCTAATCAGTCGCTCCAACATTAAACTCAGTTGCATTTGGTTCAACAATGTGTTGTTTCGGCTGCTGAGGCGATAGATCTGATTCACACAGCAGAACTTCGAGAAGTGACAGGCACCAGAAGTGTCCAGTGTCAGGAGTGTTGGCAGGTAAGCAAGAGCGTTTACCCCGTTTACCAGAGTTTTGACATGTTTTGACAATGCTTCATAGCGAAGAGTTTTGCTTGTAAAGTTTGCCAATGTTTCTATCCACTATTATGGTATTTTGGTGCTTGTTAACAGCTGTATATAAACAGCTCGCAGTTGTGTGTGGCGGCAACACCCAAAAGCTGCCACATACATGACATGTGGGTCTACATTTCCAAGCGTGCACTTGCACTTTGCAAAGGCCACGAGGCAGTGGGAGATTGGACTTGCTTCATCGTCACACCGGCATGGCAACCTTGGTTTGATTGTTTCGCGCGGTAGAGAGTGTGCGGGTGATTGGGTTCGGTTCTGGAATCAAGTTCCACATGAAAGTTGCAGCTACGCACGAGCGTTTCAAGTTCAGTGAGCCTTGGGGTAGTTGATCACGAAGACAAGGAAAAAGATAGCAGGAACAAAGGTGCAAAGGCTTACTGGGAGGGTGGGTCAAGTCCTCTCGTTTTGTAAAAAGGTGTCTGCAGTGTAGTGTGCCCATGCAGTTTGGCATGTTGGAGGTTGAGTTGCTTCATGGATGTGTTTGCAAACTTTATTTGGTATAATATATATATATATATGTATGGATACACAACAGTTTGACATAGTGTGCCCATCATGTTTGGCAATGTGGAACTGGGTCTTCAATGATTTCTGTGCTGCTTGATGTGCTGATCGCAGGTGTCCAGATGAGTTGAAGGAAGCGTAGTTACATTGGGCAATACTTACCGCCGTGGGCTGCAAATCGCATTGCAATGGCTCTGTGAGGTGTGTGCTAGTTGCAACTGGCGCCCGCTTCAAGCAGGTCTTCTGTAAACTGTCTGCACTCTGCAAGGACACTTGCCTGCAATGCACTTGTTCCAGGCTCACCAATTCCGAATAGTTTTGCTAGACTACATCAGCGGAGGAAGCCCATCACGCAGAGTAT